TGTTTGTTGTCATAATGGCCTCATTGTCATTTGTTGTCAGAATGGCTACAATGAAGGACTTGACCAAATACTTGACCATCCTAATTTTTCACATTGAAAGCTCTCTCTATCGATATCACAACAACTCCACAAGGTAGTGGAGCCCAAGAAAATGGGTAGTCAGCATTTCAATAGATCAAGTTCTACTATCACAATAGGAAGGGAGTGGCAAGCCCTTGGATACAATTCGGGGTACACTTTCTACTAACAGAAATGAGAATCTAAAGGCCTAGGAGGATGAAGGTAGCCCACTTTTCTGTTTCTTTGATCATTCAGAAATCCTGGGCAAATCTTGCCACTTCTGATGAATCCTGCCTAAGAGACAGTCTATTCCGATCACGAGGTGAGTTTTTAATGGGAAGGTTTCACGCAAGGTGAAATATGCTCCGTGATGCATGAGAGTGCCCGGCTCACTAACGCAGGCTTGGAGACCAGGAGTCCATGAGTAATTTGTTCAAAGAAATAAAGCCTATTCGTCTTGCCAGGATTCACCGACCAGATGATGTAATCTGTCCCTTTCTTGTTTACAGGCATGTTCCTAAAGAGGCAATCAAACATTGCGTCAGTCCGGCTAGGAATAATGAGGCTGCCGCATGAGTCTTGATGATACCACAGGCAGGAGCTCAGCGCTGGAGGAGAGAAAGATGAAGGGGGAAGCTCTCCGCCTTCAAAGGATGTCCCACGGGCTTCGGAAACACGTGTCCTTAAAGGGAATGTTATAAGACTCAGAAAGAGTCCTAAGAACACACCGAGTCTGGAATGTTTAGACTTTGGAAGTAGTTCCACTTTTCTATCAGAGAGCAAGATTGCTGTGAAAAAATAATGGAATTCTAATTACTTCCTTTTTAATGAATTGCAAGGGCTTTCAGGAGACACACATGAAAGATTATTACTGGTCCCTTCTTCCACCCTAAGGGTCAATACCCAGAGGAGGCAGACCCTCACCCGTGGGCAGCTCCGTTCCGTGGGCACTCATCCTCACGAAGGAAGGGTGTCTGCTGTGCTGCACGGCTGCACCCCTCTCTCCTCCCATGATCCGTTCCAATGGGACCTGGGCTGAAATCAACATACATCTGAAGAATATTTGATCTCCCTCAGGAATACGGTGCCTCATTCCTTTTTTAAGTTTTCCTTTACATCTCTCATTACAATGGCAACTCAATCAAATGTTTGTGATGTCGTTTCCCCTGAGACCACAGCAGAGTTTAACATCGATGACAATCTCTTCTTTTAGGGAACTCATCCCACTTGTGTTGAGGACCTTAGTATTACTCTTCTCCTAACTTTCCGCCCTGATCGCTCATTCTCCTTCCTGTCCACACAGCAGCCCTGGTCCACCCTGGGATCCCGACACAGCTTCTTTCCCTTTACACCCTCTCTTCATAACCCTGCTCTCTGCGGAGAACCCGAGGACCATCATTGAACCAGAACCTCTTTCCAGAACTCTTGTCCATCGTGTTTGCGTCCACACCTCGCCAGATAGCAACATCTCTGCCCTGGACCCACTGTCTCTCCTCTTAATCTGCCCCCTGTCCATCCATTCAGAGATTTCCAATGTGCTCACATCAGCCGAGCTGCAACCGAACATCCAGAAGAAAATATTACATCTCTTTTCCTTCTACAAATATTGGTGTTTTCACGAGGAACTCTTCTCCCTCTACCCACCCCACTCTTCATAACAGGAACCACCCTCCCTGAACTAAGCGCTGCAGGCAGGCAGGGTGGACATACACGGGTGCTGATAATATTTTCATCACAACACACATTCTAGCTTTGTATCCACCAAGGCCAATCGAGACAAAAAACTGCTTACTAATTTCAATAGGAACGTTGAATATAAAACATCATGTGTAGAAATCTGGGGAGGGATGTGTGGGGAAGACCAGCCATGGCAAGGAACGGCCACTGGAAAGGGAAGATTGTGTATTACGCATTAAAGGGTGATCTTGATACCTGTTCTCACAGGTATCAGTAAAAGTCATGTTATATAGTTGCCAAGCTGTACTGTGTCTCGTGTTGAAAATAAAGATGATAAATAAGGATTCTCATTTGCAAAAAAGAAAGAATTATTAACTATAATAGAGGGCTGACATAACAAAGGATTGGCTGGTACGAAATAAAGTCTAGAGAATGCAGGAATGGCAGATGTGAGGAGCTGAGACTAGTCCGGGAGCTGAGAGTCAGCACCCAAGGAAGTAGTGCCCCACGGCCCAAACCCCTCCAAACACACACAACTGAGGTCCGGATCTGGTGGGACAGGGCATGGCCGTGCCTTATTTATTTTGGGCGGGGGGGGCGGGGGGGTGGCTACATGTTTATTAAACCAAGCTTTTCCATGATATCTACCTACAATCTGTAAACATATACAGGACACACAGGAGTAAAAGGCTCTTAAATTAGAACAAGTGCAAATTCTAAAGATCCATTTCTACACAGGCACCTCCCTACTCCCGGGGCTGATCTTATGTTGTAATTGAGAGTTAACTGAAAAAAAAAAACCAAAAAAACAAAACAGAAAGAGCTTAGCCCAACTCCACCCGCCAGCATGGAGGTCAAGACCTCACATGCGTCCCACATTACGGTAGGCTGGGCTGTAGTGAGGCAGCAGCAGCGCACGTTTCACCGTCACAGACGGGCCGACATAGTACGAGCTAAGCCTCTCTTCTCTGCGTGTCCCTCCCTGTGACCATCACTAATAATAAGAAATGCGATGGCAAAGAAGTGATGGACCACAGGTGGTTACAAAAACAGATACCTCCTAGAATAACACGTATCTGCAGTCGGCAGAGCACAGTCTTCCAACATTTATTTTATAAGAACTTGCTGGAAACCCAACCTCCAGCGCTTCCCAGAAATCGATGCCCTCTCAGGTTCCAGAGGAAGTTGTTCCCTGGCAGATGTTCCCCTGGAGGTACTCTGCTATGACACTGTCTCAGGGGCTGGTCTGGGGAAGCTGGTGGCCGCTGGGTGCTGTGGACCACTGTGAACTGCACAGTCAGATGCTGGAGACGCCACCTGCGCTCCAGGAGGCTGCAGACTGAAGCACCCTGTAAGCAGAAGACGGCTCCGTGTTATGATGTCACTCCAGTGCCCTCTACTGGCAGAGCTGAACATCCCGCTGGCCCAGGCAAAGGGAAAATATTTAAAGGACCCCACTGTATTTTCACAGAGCAGCCAAAAAGGATGGATGTGGAGCTGAGAGGCAACAAGCTAACACCCAGCCCAGGTGTGTGTGTACCAGTCCCCGTGCAAGCAGGCAGTTGGCTTCAGTTATTTCCATCACACAGTAGGGACGTTGTATTTGCACCCAGTCAGTTATTTTAGTTCATTGTGAGGGCACGGAGTTTTTTTGCTACCTTATGAATTCCAGTGCCTGGCAGGAATGTCCATTGTCTGTTTTCAGGACCTGCTTCTTCCAGGAGTAAGTGCAACAGTCCAGCACACCAGCTCAGTAGCTGAACAAACCCCGGAGCGGACGGACTGCTCAGGTTTGAGTGTGATTCTGCCACTTACTGGCTATACGACCTTGAGCAAGTATCTCAGCCTTTCTGTGCCTCAGTTTCCTCATCCGTGTCATGGGAACAGTAGTGCCTAACTGATTGACTGACTGGGACACTTAGATAAGCTAGTACAGAAATGTCCCACTTAGCAGCAGAAATCCCTTTATAGAAAATCAGGTTTCTGCAGGAACACCTGGAGCCTCTGTTATTTTTAAGAAGAAAAACTTGAATGTGTAACAAATCAACCAACCTTGCCTCTCCAAGCAATTTAATTGTCACCAGAGTAAATCCCTCAACATATACCACAATATTAACCACGTTAAATGCTCAGAACATCACTGATGATCACAGCAATGTGCTGGTCACAGCATCTTAACACGTGATGTTCTGTGTGCAAGGCATCTTCCTTGCCTGTGTAATCATTTCTCTTTCTCACTGTGCTTCTTCTCTACAGTTTTTCCCCAATGCTTTCCCAACTTTGTTTTGAACTCTATACCATCCGGCAAAAACAAGGGCTAAATGGGAAAGTTCGCAGGACACAGGTTCAAGACCAAGGTACCCCAGCAGGTCAAGGTTACACAGAGCAGCATGGTGAGGACTTCTGGGTACCAGCAAGGTCCTAACGGTCCACTCCTGAGCTGCGTCCCTTTTGTTGCCAACAATTCCAGTTTTCAAAAGGATTAGGCTGGAATTTGTTCTTTTCCTGCACACAGTTTTATTTGAATATGCACTGAATTGGGGTGTGTGCGCAAATATTTTTTCCTTATATAAACAACTGAATGTGCCCAGTTGAGAGGTTCCTACTCCATTAGAAAATTTAGGTATTAAAAATCAAGGAACTCTCTACCGCAAAAAGTGGAGAGTTAGGGTTAGTCTTTAGAGTATGCCTGGCCTAGAGAACGCAACGTAAGGGTTTGTTTGCTGCCTTACCCGTCTGACTCATTAACCTTATCAGTGGATTCGTTCATTCATTCATACCTTTCTTCCTTCCAAAAAAAAAAAAATTGGGGGGCTCCTAACACAGGCCAGACTCTATTGCTAGCTATGGGGGGATGAAATGATGAATGAGATGTGGTCCCTACTTTCAAGAATCCGACCATTTAGGGGGGCAAACGGGCCGACTGTGGCAGCTGCTTGGAGGGAGCGCGGGGGGCTGCGAGAGCAGGTGACAAGATGACCTTCGGGAGAAGCTGGCCGGGGAGGGAGGCAGGAGGAGGGATCCGCGCACTGACGCCGAGAGAGAAGGGTCGAACTGGATCCCCCAGCACACGGGACCCGGGAGGAGGAAAGGGAGAGTCTATTCGCTTTGCAACTGGAAGACAGGTTTCTCCCCCGCGACGCCGAGTCTGAGGCTGCAGCCCGGAACCTCGCGCTCCAGGGCCCCGCCCCGGAACCTTAGGTCGCCGGAACTAGATACCGAAGTTCCTTTTGTTACCACCCGACGCAACACTCCAGGAACGCTTCCGGTGCGGAAACATGGCCGCGGCCGTGCAGGACTCACGTGGGAGTGCGGGGAGAAAGCTGAAAAATTCCTTAAAGAAGAAGAAGAAGAAGAAAATGGTAGCCAAGGCTGTAGCATCGGAGCTGGAGGACGAGAACGAAGACCCTGACGGCCTTGGAGGTAACGTGCTAGGGCCGAGCGCTGGCTGCCGACAGGGAAGGCCAGGCTGAGTTTGCGGGAAGCAGGGGATGCCGATGTCCTTTGCTCCGAGCCCCCCGAACTTCATCTGCGCGGGACCACTCGCAGCATGAGAAGGCTTACGGGGAGTGGTGTTCAAGGAAGGGACGTTGTCAGCTGTTTGAGCTTGCACACCTTTTTTCGGTGGACGTTTTCAGTGTCACGCTTATCAACTAAAACTGACGGAACTGCTGCTTACGGTAGCAAAAGGCGAGAGGAAGGGGGGATTTTGAAATTACTAGAATGGGATAGGTCTCATAGGGAGCATGGAGCAAAAGGCTGAAACAGGTAACAGGAAGACGGATGGTGCGCTTGCCTTTTCTTGTGCGATAGGTGCGTGCATGTGTTCAGGAGTTAGAGACAGCATAGCGGTGAATGAAAGAGCAGGTGGTTGAAGTAGAATAAATAAAACCGGTTGTTACTGTCTCTCGCAGAGACGCTTGATGTTGAAAGGAAGGGAAGAGGTTTTGAGGCTTTCCACCATGCAGTGTCCGCCCTGCTTCCTCTTTATCATCATTCTTGGCACTGCCAGCTTCGTAGGTTATGAGGCATTGCGGACGACCCCTGACTTCCTGGCAGCCCAGGTATCGCCCTGACACCGAGAGCGCCTCTTTTGTCATGTACCTCAGCTCATGTCTGTTACCTTGTCAAGATGATCCATTGGCTTCCCAACTTAGAATGACAGCCAGCAGCCTGTATGCTCTGGCTCAGGTCGGCCTCCCTTATCTGCCACTTTGGTTCTTGCTAACCACTAACTGTTAACCTAACTGTGTTGGTGCCCTTGTGGTTGTGTTGAACACATGACACATACCCCCACACCAAGGTTTCTGCACGTGCTGGCTTCACTGTGGGGAGTTTTTCAGGTGTGAGCATGGCTGCCTCTCCCTGGGTTCCTTTAATCTCCGACCCAGTGGGTCACCAACAAGACCTGCCCCTGACCACCCTGCCTGATGTACCACCGCTGCTCTTCTCCTTGCCTCCCTGCCTTCATTGTCTGACTTACTGTCCTGGTTTGTTTTTCCTCCGCATTTCCCAAATCGTGTGATGTTTTATATGTGCTCAGCATCTCTCCTGGCTGGAATGTGAGTTCCTTAAGAGGAGAGATTGTTGTATTTCCAGGGCCTAAAGCAATGCCTTTGCACAGCGGATCATTCCCAGATGTTTACATAAATGAGTGAATAAACTTGAACCTCCAGAACCAGGAAGAAGAAACTGTTACATGATCCTGCTGACCCTGCATGCTTAGAGTCCTCATTACTTGCCAAAGGAGTTAAGGAAAACAAGTTATTTGTTGAACAGGAGTTAGAATTTTGGTTCTCAGATATGTGTATATAAAAACTCAATAGACTGGTTCATGTGGGGTTATCAGAGAAAGAAACACTGCTACATTTGGAGCAAGCCATCAGTGCTGCTTACAAATTTAGGTGGAAATTTGATTTCCCTTTTCAGGTACTGGATAATTCCAAGTTACGTCTCTTAACTAAATGCTGATTGCACTATTGTAAATACTGATTAGGTTCTAAGGTTCTCTTGCTAATGTGGATCAATTACATTATGGGCTAAGAAGGCTTTTTGCTAACAAGGAAACCTCATTATCCAGGTCAGTTCAGTGAACACTTGTTGTGTACTGTTCTATTTCAGTCACCCACTGGGTGTTGAGGATACAAAAGATGAGTAGATTCTTGCCCTAGAATTGCAGTCTTAGGAAAGATATTAAACACAGGACTTTAATACAGTGTATTGAGTATTATTATTAAGAGGTAGTTATAAAGGTAGTTGTTATGATTATAGTCCAATTAAAAGTGATAAGGATGGAGACAGAGAAATCCGTCTCTCTCTCTCTCTCTCTGCCCTATCCAAATCCAGCCTAGTCATTGCTTCCTTCTGTCTTACACCTGTTGCTCACAGTGTACTGTGTTATAAGTATGTTAGCGTGTCTCTCTCCTTGTAGATACACGTTCTCTAGCTTGCTGGTGTCACAGGGTTCTGAACGCCCCACTTCTTGAGCGCAGTCTGCTCTGCCTGCTCCTAGCAGTGCTTTTGCTGTTCCGTTAACACACTCCTCCTCCCCGCCCCTGCTTCACTTTCTCTTAACCAGCTTTCCTGTGTCTTCTAGGTTTCAGCGTAGTTGTCTCCATCTACGTTTTCTTTCAAGATTTAGACTCTCTCTGTATAGAAACAGATAATAAAGGGCCTTTTATTTAATACATTCAGTAACATGGATCCATTGATTATCAGATGGGGCATTTGCCTTTGGTTTAATTTGGGCTTTGCCATGTAATGTAAGAAATTGTTGTTTTCTTCTCACAAAATCAGTTATTTCTGGAAATGTCACCCATGGAAACGGCTATCCTAGTTCAGATCTTTGTGTACACGTGGCCTTGGCAGAACTATCACATTATCAGACTTTTTTAGAAAATAGATACTGAGAAATTATAAAGACAGAAGATTGAATTTGGCTTCGGAGCTGGGAGGAATCAGTGTGCAAATTATAGGGTTAGTGTGTACCTGCTCGTTTTATCAGGAAGTTGACTCAGAGACTTGTCTTTGAATTTTAATTGGGCCCTAAAAGTTGATAGAGGTATGCCTTATGTCCTTTTGGAAGTGATTTCCTTTAGCAAGATTTTTCTCAAGTTTTAGAAAAAAACCACGCAGGTGTTGTTCGAACTTTATTTTTCATCTTTTGTCTTTAATTTCTTTGACAGTTGTATAAGAAAGGTAGAAACTACACTTTTATGGGTATGACACCTGTAAGTCATGTTTGTCAACCCACAGAAGTCTCCTCGTTCCATGCCGAGAGGCCGGTCAGCTCAGCAGTGGCGGTGTCGCAGCGCCGGGCATGTAGCGGTAAATGTCATTGACTCATCGGGTAGACTGGGAACTTCTCTTAATCACAGGCACCAGGTGTCATGGAGGGTAAAATTAACAGAAGCTGTGTGTAACGTAACCTTGAATGACAGCACAACAACTCAGAGTGAATTTTTGGTAAATTGTCATTTTCTCCAGTGGGGTTTGAAATGTGTTCATAGCAAAATCACAAGTGATCATGAATCAGGAATATACAGAAGGTAAAACTCTACACCTAGTGTTTTAAGTAATAGATAAATGTCCTGTCTTATAAGAGGGGAGATGACACAATGAATAGTTGGCTCTTAAGTTTGTAGCCTTTAAAACACACACACACACACACAGCCTCTTTTGATGTAGATGATATTTTATTGCCATTTTCCCAGATTAGGAGACTAAGGCACAGAACTTGACATCTTCAGAAAGGTTGCGTAGATTGGACTCTGGAGTTGAGATTGAATCCAGGCCTCCTGACATTCCTTTTCCTCCTGTTGACCGTGGCTGTGATTGCAATTAAACATTTATAAGGACCTCTATTTGACTTACACTAACTTCTGAAGGTGTGAAGTAGGTTAAAGGTTAACTGGGAGCCTTAATGTTCCCAGACGGTTTTGCATTTTATAAGGACAACCTTCTTAACCCAGGAGAGAGACTGTTAGAAGTGCAGACCTGAGGTGTGTCCCCAGAGGACAAGCGACAGCCATCTGGCCCGGGACTGGCAGCAGGCGCATGGCTCGGGTGCAGAGCTGGGTTTCAGTTCTGGTTAATGTGGGGTGCTTCTCCTGGACCATATTCATTTCTCAGACCAGCTTTTTCATGCACGTCTTACCACCAGGTCCCAAGCCTCCATTTTCAGCCAGTGTGAACTTCCTGTTGTTTTATCAATATCGCACCTGCAGCATTCTCATGCCTTTGGAGATGCCTCGTGCTGGTTTCTCCTGCCTGGAATGCCCATAATGGCCGTTACAGTAATGATGTTCATTTCCACCCAGAGCATCGACTCCCAGCTGGGATGTCTGGGCTCTGCATTCGGGGGTCCCGCCTCTTGCAGCTGGCCCAGGCTGGGACCTTGCTTCTCGGGCCTCCTCCCGTTTCTTGTCATTCAGACCCTTGCTTTATCCTCCAAGAAAAGCTGAAGTGTCCGCTTTGTAGAAGAAAATACGCCCCAAACAGCCACTCTTTTTCCCTTGTTTTTCTTTTAGAAGAGCACTCACGAATTTTCGCAGGTGGGTGACTGATGTCTCTGCCCTGCCCAGCAAGTCGTTTCCTCCGGGAGAGAAACCCGGATGGAGAGCTGTCATTTTCTCCTTCCTTCCTCGGCACTCCTGGGTACTCAGGGAACGTACCTGCCATTCAGGAGTCAGAGACCTGGCTCCAGTTAAATAACTGCATGTGGCAAGTGAATTTTTAAATGTTTGTCTGCTTATTAACACATTTAGGCAGTAGAATTGTTTGGAGTTTCTTGCTTCTATCATTTCCTTTAATATTTTTTGGTACCACTGACATACTGTATAGTATAAGATAGTGCTTTTTAAAAATTTATTCTGCTTCCTATGTTTAACTCATGTTTCTGTCATGTTCTGTTACTTTTTTGAAGATAAGGGCCCTCTTTATTTTTACCCATATGCTTGAATTGCATTTTTATGTATGTTTAAAAATATTTTATATGTTTTATTGGCTGTTTTCTAATATGTTACACGTTTTGAAATATATCAGATATTTAGTTTTTACTTCCTTTTCATTTCATGAATTCTCAGCACTTTAAAAAAATTACTTTTGTGCAGAATACCAGCATTGCGAGTAGTACCACGACTGGCTAGATGTTCAGCTCTTCCCTCCGTTTCTCTCTGCAATCGTGGCTGAAGGTCAGGAGATTGGAGGGCATCACTCAGAGGTCAGCAGCTGACCTCCATTCCCTCCCCTTCACTTTGATCATGGCAATAAGTCATATTTTTAAAAAAACCTAAAGGACATTTAAAACTAAACGTGCACGTCGGCTGAGATAATTTAGAAGAAACGGGGCTTGGAGTTGAAGACCGGTGGTTGTGAGCGGTCAGCGGTCTGGGAGAGGTTCGGGTGCGCGGCGTGGCTCCGGGAGGGGAGGGGCGCAGGCCCTGTGCCGGCGGCTGCGGGTTGCTTTGCAGTCCTGCGGGTCCAGGTGAGGGTTCCATCTGGATGGCGGGGCGTCAGAATTGAGTTACCGGGGGGGTGGGGGTGGGGGGACCTTGTTCGTGCTCAGGCCTCTTTCCACTCAGTCAGCATTCAAAATGTTACTTGGGTTGCTGCTGGTATTTAGTGGAGGTACTTTGATTGAAAGAGTGGGGAGGAATGGTGTTTTTTCAGTGTGAACTTTGAGACTCAGCTGGGTCGGGATTGGTTGGAAGAAAGCACGGTTCCCCGGGGACGGTGCCCCTTCCTCTGTGCTCGTCCCATCAGCTCTTCTGCTTGGTAAGGAACGTCCAGGCTGCTCGGCTGTAGCGTGATTTTCTCCTTTGAGGTGTTTCCTAGTGCGACCTGCAGGTTTCTCAGGAGAGAGGAGCTCTGTGGAGGGGCGGCCTTGGAGAGACCCTGCAGGCTGCTGCGGAGCGCTGGGCGTTCCCGTGCTGTGACCTCCTGACCCCAGGGGCTCCGGAACTGCACCACCCAGGGCTCCTCAGCCAGTTCCGCTTGGGACAGGGCTGCTGACTGGGGTCCTCCTGCCGGTTCCCCAAGCCCAGCCGTTTGAATCTTACGTGAGCGTCCAGCTTGTGATCACCTGGATGTGCTTTTTGGGGACGGGTTTGCAGGATGTCATTTAAACGGTCTCTTTTGTGTCTTCAGTCTCCAGCTTGATGGTCTCATTGAACCGCTCAGCAGTGCAGTTGTCTCTTCTGTGTCTTGGGTACATGTCCCTTCACTAGATTATTTTTCAGAAATGTTAAAACAGCCAACTATATGGCTACTTGCAAGTTCTGTGAGAGGAGGCTGGTTTTTAGCTGTTTCTGCATGTAAATGTAGGATGCGGAGTGTCCGGCCAACCCCTGGGAAGCTGTGCTGACTCCTCGGTGCCACCGAGACGCGTTCTCGTGTCGGTTTGCTGTTTGTCCTGGAACAGGCTTCACGCATCTCCCCACGCGCTTCGCTGCGCAGGGAACGCCCGTGGACTTGACTGTCTCTGCACCGGCCCGTGTCAGCCTCCGTCACCCCTCGACAGCAGGCTGGGGGTGGGGCGGGGTTTGTTCATTGCCCTGGGTCCTGGGTCAGGAGGACCCTGCATCGCCCCCGTCCCCCATCAGCACGGCCGGATCTCCGAGACTGGTGGCGAGGGTGGGGGTCCCACCGGGGCACTGCTCTCCTCTGTCCCCGCACCTGCCGTCCTGGGAGAAGCCCCTCTTGCAAGGCGGAGAGGGGCGGGGAACTGCTCTGGGGCCCCGGGGGTGGCCGTGGCCGTGGCCGTGGCCACCCCTGCCTCTGGCACCGGGGCTCCATCTGTCTCTTCCCCCAGGGTCTCCAGGAAGGCGAGCCTCCGACGAGGAAGCGGTGGAGGCCGACAATGAAGACGAGGCCGGCCCCGGGGACAGGGACAGGGAAGACGCCCGCGGGGACGCCAACGCGGGCTGGGCAGACGCCATGGCTAAGATCCTGAACAGGAAGATGCCCGCGAGCAAGCCCACCATCCTGGCCAGGAGCCGAGAGCTGGAGAGGGAGAAGGAGAAGGAGAAGCAGGAGAGGCTGGAGAGGCGGAAGCAGGTGTGTGCCCCGGCGGCTCCCGGTCTGGCCTGTGTGTCCTGTGTGGTCCTCCGCGCTCGTCCGCACCAGCTGTTTCCTGCGGTGCTAGTGCAGTGGGCAGCCCCCTGGGGAACCTCCATTTCAGGGGGCGTGGAAGGCCGAGGTTCTGTTCAGAGTCCTAGTCGGAAGTGCTCTGTGGGGTAGGTGCACCTTTCAGTCAGAGAATCGGATTATCTGGCAAAGCTAGAAGAGGTCCTAAAAAGATCCGAACCCTCCAGCGCTTGGTCCTAGGGTCTCGGGGAGGGACCGCCTTGGAGGCCGGGAGAAGCACGTGGTGACGCCGCTCCGGGCCGGAGCTGTGCCGGAGCTGTGCCGCAGGTGACACTCCCGCACACGCCCTGCACCAGCTCCGCTGCACCGGCCGCCCCCACAGACGGACGCTGTCGGCCTGTGTTCTGGTTCGAGTCCCTGGGAGGCTCCCGGTTTGCTGGGCAGCCAGCACTTATTTCTGATCACGAGTATAAAAATGTATTTCAGAGCTTAGAAATATTTGGAGATCATGCATGCATGCCTATTTTCCCTGGGGTACTACAGATAATTCAGAGTAAACCTAAAAGTAAGATTTTTTAAAAAAAATTCTGGCATAATCTGAGAGTTTCACGACAGTTGAAACAATCTGATTTGGGGAAGAACCTGTGCCCGTAGAAAGGAGTCGGCCAGTCTCCGTCCTGAGCGCGGGAGTTTGGTTCCGCTGTTGGCGGGTGTGTTGCTGGAAGCTGAGAGAGGGGGTGCACGGGTTGTTGCTGGAAGCTGAGAGGGGGTGCACAGGGAAGGACGGATGAGAAGAGGCTGGCTGCCCGGTTCTGGCTGTGGCCCAGCACTTGCCACACTCGGTGTGCTGGCTGCGTGGGGCGTGGAACGGGGTGGGGGTCTGGGAGGCACTTCTGTCACGCTGGGGGCCTGGGGCGGGGCTGCCACTCGGAGGCAGTTTTGAATTCGGTTATTTCATCTGTGGGCTTTTCTCACTGCCTGGCCCCCTCTGCCTTCGCGTGATGGCAGTCACCAGCGCGCTGCGCTTTGTGGCCCAGAGGCCACGTGGCCAGGTGTGCCCTCAGAGAAGTGGGGGTAAGTGAGTCTGAAAGGAAAATCTGTCGCTGTATAAGTACATCTGGACATGACGCTATTCATTTAGAAGCTGATCTTAATTCTTCATAGTTCTGACTGCTGGGGAAGTCCGTTCCTAAAACAGAGCAAAACAGTGTTTTCACCCCGTGGCTGCCACAGAGGGCAGTTTGGGGTCCTCCCAATGCCGCCCCCAGGGGCCAGGGCTCCCGCACACCTCCCTGGCAGCCCCCCCACAGACCTGCCCGGGCCTCTCCCGTGACGCTGGGTGCGAGCCTCGGGCCCCCCCGGAAGCGTGGGCCTGCAGCGTCCCCGGGACAGCCCGCGCCAGAGCACGCGTTACCACCTCTGTCCTGTCGCGGGGCATCGCGTCCCAGTGGGCGGCTCTTCCAAAACGGCCTAATGTCCCCCCCTCCCCCACACACACTGTTTGCCACGCAGCTGGACAGGAAGCGGGAGTGGGAGATGCTGTGCCGCGTCAAGCCTGACGTCGTCAAAGACAAGGAGACGGAGCGGAACCTGCAGAGGATCGCCACCAGGTGAGACTGTGATTTTGCCCCGAGAACCCCGGCGTGCCCGGCTGTGAGTGCGGGGCCCGCCCGGCCCGGCCCTGCGCCTGGGGAAGCAGGCGGTGGTGGTCAAAGTCAGTCTTGGTTTCAGTTGCGCAGAAGTTGGTTTAGAGAGACCAACGCTGGGAGAAAACCAGAGTATGTATCAGTCCGCATATATACATTCATTCTCCTGACACGTTCACGAACTTCCGTTCATTCGCTGAAGTGCACGTTCCCTTCTCACAAGCGTCCAGCCAGTCGGCTGTCGTCTGCACGCCCACTGCACGCGTGCCTCCCTCCCGAGCAGCGAGCAGCGCACGCCCTCTGCCCCTGTCCTCGGTGTCTGTGTCCCAGTGGGACCGGTGCTGACCCCTGTCGCCCTGGCCCTCTCGTAACACGCAGGGGCGTCGTGCAGCTGTTCAACGCTGTTCAGAAGCACCAGAAGAACGTGGACGAGAAGGTGAGGGAAGCCGGAGGTTCCGAGAGGAAGCGTGCCAAGCTCATCTCCACGGTGTCCAAGAGGGACTTCATCAGCGTGCTCAGGGGCATGGACGGTGGTGCGCGTGAGCCGGACGCCGCAGGAAGGGGCGCGAAGGCCCGACAGGTGAGACTTCCCTGCGGGCTTCGGTGCACCCGGCGTTCAGCTTCGACACTGAGGCTGAAACCCACACTTGAGGGGCGGGGAGCACACGGTGGAACGGCAGATTCTTCAGACCCACTCCCGTTTTACACGCCCGCGGCCCAGTTCAGTTTGGACTCTCAAGTTCCGTGACGATGTCCTCAGCAGGGGATTGCCAGGCAGGGGTGCCGTAGCCCCGCGGTTAGAGCTCAGCAACCCCTGGGTTCCGGCACACTTCTTAGAGGCAGAGCCGCACCTGTCCCACCTGCAGTTCTGCCTCTTGTGCGCTTTGGGGACCAGAAACCTGAGTGGGACGCGCAGCCTCAGTGGGAGGGGTTTCCCGCGGGGGCGTGGCTGATGCCGTGTGACTTCTGGAACGGGAGGCAGCAGGGCCTGGGGCCGCGAGGCAGGGAGTCGCCCTGGTGCGGGGGCAGCGGGGACGTCTGGCTGGAAAGGAAGGACGTGAACATTGTCCTGGTCTTTGGCGACATAACGGCGCTGGCCCCACCCAGGGACCCGCGTGGACCCCAAGCGTTTCCTTGTTTAATGTGCAGGCGAACGGTCCAGAGTGTGCTTTAGTCTCAGAAGCGCCGTCTTTTAAAGACGAGCCAAGTACGAAGTTGTATTTGATGGGTTGAGTTTATTGCCAACAAAGGCACTTGGTGGGGGTTGGGGGGGAATGGGTGTCCTCACGGTGACATTGTGTGTGCCGGGACAGCAGCTGAAGCTCGGGCAGGGGGCAGGGAGCAGGGGGCAGGGGGGGCCTGCGGGGAGCTCCGCCTGGCCCAGGGGCGGCGCGTTCTTCCAGCTCCTGGACGTAGTCGCCAGGCGCCCTGGTTCTGGCAGACGCGTGAGGACCCAGATTGAAGACGATGTGGTGAATGAAGGTGCTCGCTGCCACTGGAAGGGTCTGTCGGAAGTCGTCGTCTCTGCACACGCGCCGTGTTGGGGGCTGCACCCTCTTTGGTCAGGAGGGCAGGCTGGGTGCCGGCAAGCCTGGTGGCAGAGCTGGAGAAGGGCGCGGCGTGGGCCGAGAGCAGCCAGCGGGACGTGGGGAAAGAAGCGGCTGACCGGGGCCCCGCGATCCTCTCCGTCCTCTCCGGTGTCTGAGGGGAGTGCGGACACGCCGGCGCCGGCCCAGGCCCTTCGGGTTGGGGAGCTCCGCTGGGGTGGAGTGGGCTCTTTTACTGAGGACGCCCAGTGTCGGTGCCTGGAGTCTTCTGGGCCCTGCACCTGTTCCGGAGAAGAGTCTGCAGGCCACCGCTGCTCCCTCTGCGGCTAGGACGTGGGTGGGGCGGGCTGCAGCCAAGTCGCCCCGGGGCCGGCGGGCGGGGTGCGGGCAGAGCGCCGACTGACCGTCTGTCACCCCCACGCTTGAATGGCGGACCTCACGCCAGGTTTGCAGGACTGCAGTTCGCCGGTGCATCACGATGGGCTGCTGTTTTATGGCGGAACCACAACAGTAATCACGGTGCAGTAGAGGGAGGCGCCAGCCCGTTTCTGTGAGGAAGGGTTTCCTTGGTGATCACCAGGGCACCGCATCCCCGTGACTGTCTCTAGTTTGGACAAGCGACTGGGAGAGAGCAGGCAGTTACTTAGTTTTCTGCTTTTGTGGCACGAGCACTTCAAACGTCAGACCCAGAAGTAAGTGCGGGGGCTCCGTTCTCGCGAGTTTCTCGTGAGTCGTGCCCACCCAGTTTCTGCGGAACCAGGCCTTCCGAGGTGGGAGAGCTCCTGAAACACCCGGCCTCGGCCTCGGGCGTCTTAGTAACGGAGAGCGGTGCTGACACTGCTCCGTGCTCGCACCAGCGCATCTTCCTCCTGGTCCACGGACCCGCTGGCCTCCTGCTGCCCGAGGAGGCAGCTGGGGAAGCAGGGGCGCCTCACGCTGGTCCCTCGGGGGCCCCCGCTGGTCTGGGGACTTAGTTTTCTCACGGAGTTGGGGGCGTGGGAGGCAGGCCAGGGGCGGGCGGGGCGAGTTGCTGCCCGCATCCCACGACAGCGGTGCTGCCGCCCTCACACTGAAGCTGCTCTAGCAGGGGTGTGTGGAGTCCGGACTTGGTGAGTAGTTCAGCTCAGTGTGTGTTCGCTGCAGATGTCGGAGCAGATTGCCATTCAGACGGAGGAGAGCGGAGTTGGAGCCGGGAACAGGGGGCACCACACGGAGCACGGCTGATGGGGACGCCGGGAAGCCCGTTGCTCGCCGCGTCGCCCCTCCGGCAGCAGCCCCTCGGGTCGGGGTCGGGGTCCAGGCGCGGGGCGGTTCGGGCTGACCTGCCGCTGTGGCCCCGGCGGACCTGCGTGGGGCTGCGGGGCGGGGCTGCGGGGCACGGGCGGCACTTTGACTCGGGGAGTGTGGGTGCGAGTGCAGAGTTAGAGCCGGCGCCGGGGCGCCTGCGGAGATCTCCCGTCACTTTCACAGTGAGGAGCAGTGAAGGTGGTGCCGCGCGCCTCCTGGCCCTCTGAAGAGCTGGCCTCTCTCTGAAGTAGCTGCTGTGGGCCTCTCCATCAGCGAGCATGGGGCCCTTTAAAAACTTGAATGGTCCGGCACAAAGTGAGCCTCGTACCACGTGCTGGCACTTAGGGTGCATTTTTAGAATTCAGAAGAATATTTTACTATTTTTTGCTAAAAACAAATCATGTTTGAGTTGTAGGCAGTTGAGCACGTGTGTGGCGTCGTGTGATGCATCATACACCAGCCCCCTGGGCTCCAGGCACCTGGCCTGCCGTCTGGGCCCCTTCCCCACCTCGGGCCTCGGGCGCCCCCCGGCCGCTCTCCACCACTCGCTGTGGTGCCGATCACCCACCGCCTCGTGGGCCCCGTGAGAGCCTCGTGAGCTGCACGCGGGGCTGGGAACCGTGGCCAGCGCCGAGCGAGCGCCATGCACGTGTTTGCCGGCACTTTTAGTTCCCGCTGCAGGCCATTAGCCAGCCTGGGTTCTTCCCCTTTAGTAGTTGTTTTCCCAACAGGTAGGGAGTGATCGGAGGTGAGTCTGTAGTCGGAAACCAGTTTGAAGGGAAAGTATTCCTATGAGTGACTGGCTAACCCCAGAATTATCTAATAACTTAATAAATTGTGTTTGGGTTTGGATTGGGCTTCCTCACTGAAGTGTCTGGCCTAGTGATGCGGAGTTCTCACGGGGTAACAAAACTAGGTTTGGGGGCACGGAGGGATCGGTCCCCATTTCAGGCTGCGGCTGCGCTAGCTCTGTTCCTCACAGGATGTCCCTCAGCAAGTGGAACCCTTGGTTTCTGAGCCGTGCTGCCCTGCTGTCTGAGTCCGTCCGTGCTTGTGAACAGGGTGCGGCCCAGATCCGGGAGCCCACAGATGGCCCGGGGTGGGGTTCTGGATGCCCGAGCACTCGTGGCCTCAGTGAGCTGGCTGGTGGGGGGGGGGCTGGGCGGGGCTGCTTGTTGTCTGCTGTGTGCCAGGCGCTCCAGAGGGTGTTTTCACGGGAGGGTCATTTCGGGAGGTGCTGGAACTCCTCCCATTTGGAGGAGAGAGACCCAGTCAGGACGACTCAGCGACTTGCCCCTGGCTGCCCCGATGGGAATCGGAATCTGGGTAGAAGCCCGTCTGCACTGTCGGGAGCCTGTGGCAGGTGGCAGCCTCGCTGCGGCTGGTGAGCCGGCAGGCCGTGCTGCGGTGGAACCAGCAGGGGGCGCCGCCTCCCCGGCAGTGAGGCTGGTCCTGAGCCCCAGGGTGGACTCCCGCCCCAGAAGGAGTGTGCGGTGCCGATCTCCTGCATCTGACAGCTTCGCCACTGAGGATCTTAGTTCTCAAAACCGCCAGGGAAGTTTCCTTTCCACGTTCCAGAGTTCTGAAACTCGTTCAGAACGTCCTCTGTTTCAGCTGACACTTTTTGTTTACCAAGGAATGGAAGTGTCCCGGGTACCAGGTGCACCGTGACTCGGCCACTACAGTGCGTGCTGGCTCCCGTGGCCCTTCGCCCGACCCCTTCCTCCGAGCGCTGCCCCCGCCCCTGGGAGACCGGGGGTGCGGACCTGCGGCCGCCCGCGTCTCCCCAGAGCCCCGGTGAGGGCCGTCCGTTTAAACTGGCCTGGGATGCCCACACACCCGGCCTGTTTTCCAGACGCGTTCTCGGCTCTGCCAGTCTGTCTGCAGGCCTGCGCGCTCGCTGAAGTGCCGCGATGTGGCCGCTGAGAGAACGGCTGGGCTTCGGGAGCCTGGCCCTGGGCCTCTGCGCAGCTCGGGCGCCGGGGGTGGGGGGAGTGTGCCGGGCACTGACGGGGAGGGCCCTCAGGACAGTGCAGCCGTCGCTCCGGTCAGTTCGGGCCACGGTGACTGACTGACCGACAGTTCTCAGGAGGACGTAAACCACGGGAGAATTGGAGCTGCCCAGTGTCCCGCAGACTCCCGTCTGCGGGTGGTGCGGAGACAGTGCGCCAGGATGGAGCGGACGGAACAGAACAGGCGTCTCCAGGTGCAGCCGCTCCGAGCCAGGGCCCGGGCGTTGAGCTCGGGGTGAAGCCGAGGGCTGCAGCGGAAATGGAAGCAAACACGATGCCGTGAGCGAAAACCTGCTGCATGAAAGAACCATGATCTGCAGGAGTGTTGGGCCTGAACTCTCAGGAAGCCAGAATGCTGTTTGTTGAACTTGAGCTTGGTCCCTGATTGAAGCTGACAGGATTTCAGCCTCTTGGTCTTCCTTCCTAGGAGTGACAGGGGACTCCGGGGTTGAGGGTTTTGGTCCGGCCAGCAAGGCCTGTGGGTCACTGCGGGTGCGGCGCCCTTGCTCCCGGAACTGCACACCGGCCCCTCGGACCCCGCTGCTCTGCCTCCAGGCTGGGGTCTGCAGGCGGCGGGGAGCGCAGGGCTCCACTCCCGGAGAGAGTGGTGCCCCAGGAGGGAGTGGTGCCCCAGGAGGGAGTGGTGCCGAAACCGGTGAAGAATTCTTGATCAGCAGGTAAAGAAACACCAGGAAAATCTCTGCAACTCTTATCTGATTGACCCTTTGCGAACC